TTTAATATCCCTGGTCTGGGGTTGAGGTTCGGTGCAGAAGGGAGCTTGGGTAAGGGATCGGGAGTGTGAAATCTGGCACAGAGTTATGACCAGAGACTGGGGTGCAAAGTCTGAATGGGGGTTGTGGCCCAAAGGAGCGGTGTAGGAGGGAATGCAGGGACTTGGAAGGGATTGTGACCTTGAGGAGCAGTGTGGGAGGGGTTACGGGTGCAGGAACACATGCAGAGCGTTTGGGTTACATGAGGTAGAGGAGGCAGAAGAGGGACAGAGGGTTGAAGGGAAGGAGGGACTGGGGTGCCAGAGAGAGGCTGTGGCCAGAAGTTACTTTTACATGGACAGCTTCTGATCAGCAGCTTAATTGGTTTCTCAGCTAGGGTCTCCTTCTTCCATGCCCCTGCACTGGCTGCAAGGGCCTTGTGTGGCTCAGAATGCTGCAAGGCCAGAAGGAAGAGGATATTTCACTCGCTGGCCAATGAGAACTTCAAAATTTTGCTAGGGGTAGGGGCAGCACACGAAGCTTCTTTTTCCCCCTTCGCCTTGGGCTCACAGCGCTCAGAGAGCTGCTCTGAGCAATGTGCAGGGGCAGGGCAGACCGGAAATCTAGTGGAGTATCCAGCAAGCTGGATCTGGGCTGTGTGTTTCATTTAACCTAGCATTCTCTCGTACGATGTTCGATGGCAATTAACAAGATCTTAGTGGGGTTTTTTTGGTTCACTCTTACAAACCATTTGCTGTTTGTTACTGTGTTTTGAAAGAAATAGGCTAGGCTATTGGAGTGACTTATGTGGTTTTGGACAGACCTGTCAAGAATTTCTGAAGTTTTGATTACTTCGCAAGTACATGTTAGGCAAAGTCTCTGAGAGCACTGTTAGTATATTATGACCATGTGAAGAAAGCTTATGTTCTAGCATTTTGATATACCACACTATTTGTAGGTAGGAGTCACCATGTTATTGGAATATATTAATTCAACTAGCTGGAGTTAACTAGCATTGCTCAGGAAACCAGAGGAACAAAATGTAGAAAAACCGTAGTCTATTATCTTTTTTTGAATGGTAGAAAAGTTGCACTGACTTCTATAGGGATTAAAATACAGGTCCGCATCATCCCCGGAGCGGGGGACGGGGTGACCCCGGGTGGAGGGGAAGTTACACATGGGAGGGGCGCCCCAGCTCGCGCCTGGGGCTGCAGGTGCCGGGGGAGGGGGGGCAGGGTGGGTGCCCGAGCCATTGTGCACATGGGGGTGAGGGCATTATGTGCCAGCGTGGGAGGGGCAAAGAGGATCACTCATGTAACCTCGTGGGCAAGAGGTGGCGAGTCCCGAACAGCACTGGGGGCCGCAGGCGGCAGGCACAGGACCTAGGGTGTGTGGGGTGGCCCCTGTAGCGCAGCATGGCGGCTTACTTTTTTATTTTTACAGCTTGAGCTCAGGCCTGATTGGCTCCAAAAGTACCATAAAACCTTCTCCTGGATGAAAGGTTATCCCATGCAAAGTTTGGTTGCGGTAGCTCTTATAGTGTCCAAGTTATTAACACACATTATATTAAGCTAGTAATGTTTGTCTAAGTACGCATTTAAATTAAAAGCAATGTTTTAAAATGACCCTGCGACCCTCTTGCACCTCCTTTTTCAGATAGATCCCCCAGTTTAAGAAATGTTGGTGGTCTCTCTAAAATTTGTATAATGTGGGGGTGGGGCAGAGCACAGAAAAGTTCAAGAACTGTGATATCTGATTCATTTTCATGGGTGTGAATTTTGGTTGTAAGTATTCCAAAAGTTCCTGATGCTTATCAATTTTATGTCCAACAAAGCTAATTATTTGTCCTATTTTAAATCCCTTCCTGAATTTTTTTCTGCAACATTCCTTTAAGGGGCTGTAATGCAATTCAAAAAGCTTAAGCAAGCATCTTTTGCTACTCCCACTTTACCAAGAAATTCATTTGTAGCTTTTATTTAGGATTTGAATAAGTAGAATTTGCAGAAACACAGACATTTGTGTGCCAGAGCACATTGCGGGATTAGAGCCTAAAATATCACTTTCTGTTTAAATTGGACTCTTTCTTTCAGCTCTGGTAATGTAAAAGTCTTTCTGTAACATGCATTTCTGTAGGGTAAAAGCTAAACATAGTTTTTGCTGAATAGTATAATATTCTGTTAAAAGGTCTTAATCTAAAAGCATTCAGTACCCTGTGTTACGTCACTTTGATAAGTTGGCTAATGCTGGTTTTAATTGGTATCAATAAATAGTTATGGGTTGATGTAATTTAATGTTAGCCATGTAATGCCTAGGCAAAGGTTGTTTTCAAATGCCCTTGTATTTGCACGGGTGCTTTACAACATCTAGACTATTGCTGATGCTGCTTGAAGTCTAAACTGATAATGAAAAATAGGTTTAGTTGACAAATTCACTTGTTTTAATAAAATCAAATATTCATGAGTAATAAAAGGCTTGTATACATATTTTTTTGTCAAAAATGATTCTGGGGAAATAAAGCAATTTTACTTCCTTATTGTTGGTCATCCATGCCATATAGCTTTAGTGACTCTACTTATCTATGCAAGGCTTGCTGCCTTCACAATGAGGGCAATCTTTTATTAGGAGTGTTTTGGAAAAGTGAGCACTCATGCTTATCTTTGTCTTTGTATGGTTAGTGTTTCTGTTTCCTCTAGTTATCTGCTGACCTGGAAAGATAAGCTTTAATTTAAGAAACTGCTTTGGCTTTATTCTGTGTTATGTAGGTTTTTTTTCTCAGCTTTATAAATAAGCTTTTTATTGTAGAGGCGAGTTTTTTTTTTTTTTTTTTTTTTTTTTTTTTTTTTTTTAAATAAGTTAATTAAAAAGAGGAATGAAAGCAGGAGGGACTCTGATTCTTTGCTGCTCAAGAATATATTAAATATTTAAAACAATTGCAAAATGTCATGGTCGCAGCTTCTAATATAGTGCTTCAGATAATCTTTGTGGGCCATTCTCTTACTGGATTTTTTTTATATATTATTGGAACTCACACACACTGTCTCTGTCTCCCTCCCCTCCCTCTTTCCCCCGCTGCACTTGCCAACCCACTACAGGAGGTAGGCAACTCCGGCTCTTTGCCCCCAGCCTTTTCCCTTCCTGCTCTCTCCTCCACATACGCACACCTCTGTCAGCCAGGCCCTCTTCTCCCTCCTCCCAACCCCGCGGGTCCCGCAGCTGGCACGGTGACTGCTGGAGCTTCAGCCAGCCATTGTGCGGCAACTGAGGGGACCAAGGTCCACCCCAGTCCCAACCCCCTCCCCCCAATCCAGCCCAGGTCCTCCACTGCCCTCTCCTCCCCTCCCCCCGCCAGGGTCCTGCCACAGGCACCTCCTCAGCTATTTTCCTCCTTCGCTAATTCTTCACTCCAAGCCCCAGCTCCAGCTCAACGAAAGTAGGGAAGGAGGGGGTTAGGGCTCCGACTAGGAGTATGGTCCACAAATGAAGGGTTCACAGTGCAAGAGGGGGCTCTGGATGGGGAAGTTAGGATGTAGGAGAGAGTTCAGGGTGCAGCCTCTAGCCAACCAGCATTTACCTCAGACAGCTCCTAGTGCTCAGTGTTTCTGGGCTAAGGCAGGCTCCCTGCCTTCCCTGGCTCCACATTGGCTTCTGGAAGTGGTGGCATCCAGCTCCAGATGTGAGGAGGGCCAGAGGCCTCTGTTTGCTGCTCAGTATGGGGGCAGCGTATGTAGACCCTGTGGTTGCCCTTGCACCTAGGAGCCAGAGGTAGCCAGCCACTTCTGGGAGCTGCGTGGCACCAGGGCAGACAGGGAGCCTGCCTTAGTGTCACTGACTAGACTTTCAATGACCTAATGAGCGATGCTGACTGGAGCCACCAGGAACCCTTTTCGACTGGGTGTTTTGGTCAAACACCAGATGCCCAGCAATCATGAAGTGGGACAGGCAGAATCTGGGAGTGCGTGGATCTCCTCACAGCAGTCTGGCAAGTGTCAGCTCAGGGAGCTCAACCAAATCTGTATCCGGTATTAAATGCTTATCAGTTAAGCAAGTATTCTATTACATTGTTTCTCAACCAGTAGTACAAGTACCCTTAGGGGTACTCAAGAAGTCTGGAGGATAAATCAACAAACTGAAATTTGGAGAAAATTTTTGTGTTAAGTTTTACAGCGCTTTATTATTTTTGTACTTTTTACACCCAAAAATTTCATCGCCCACCCGGCTACAATTAAGTTACTTAAACAATTGTGTTGCAATGGTAGAAAAAAAGTGTGTGTGGGGGGTGGGGAACCTGTAGGTACTGGGGGGTATTTATTTTTTTTTAAAGGAGGTTCTTATTTAAAAAAAAAAGTTGAGACACTATTAAATCAGGGTTTTTTTTCCTATATGATCTGTAAATGCTTTTACTCCCGTACTTCTGTGACTTTAAGGTTTGTGTTTTGACATCCAGTCTTCAGTCTTAAACGACTGAAACAGCCTCATATGATTTACTACAGGTTGGGCCTCCCTTATCTGGCACCTCAGGCCCTGACCTGATCTTTCCCGACTGAGGGAATTTGCCAGATATGGGGAGGTTCCCCTGCCACCGACCACCCAGGACGTTTCCTTGCCCTGCGACTGGCTCCGCTCCAGCCTGCAGGGCTTGGACTTGGACTCCAGCCTACTGGGGCTCCCTGGGGATGGAGCTCCCCAACCACTGTGGCCCTGCTTCTCCCCCACCTGACTGAGAATCCTCCTAATAAATTCTCCTTTAAAAAAAAAAAAAAAAAATTAAAATGTGACTAATGTGAATTTTTCTATGGAAGTTGTTACTATAGTTGAAACAAGGATGCTACACAACTATAAAAATGAGAGGAAGTATTGAACATAACAATTGCTCTATTAAGGTCCTGAAAATGGTAATTATTGGGAACCACCTGACACAATGTTCTCTTTAAATTATGAATTTCAAATTGATAGTCTTCTTTCAGTATAGTGAGTGTTTCAGACTTATCATTAGACAGTTTTTAATTAAATGTATTTATTTCAGCATCTTAACTGATGATGAAGAAGAAATATACAGGACTGAAGACTGTGAATTTGCAGCCAAGAAAAGGAAAAAAGATCATATTCGGAGTAACACAAAATCACAATGTAAGACTGGATTGCTTTTAATTCTAGTTTAGAGGATAGTTTATAATGTGGAAGTACAAGGCGAACCTCTCTAGTTTAGCATTCTTTCTTCTGACAACAGTGATGGTCTGGCATGATTTTAGTCAGCCGGATGTCCACTTCTCAGAGGTGTGACCAAGTTTCCCACAGTTGCATAAAGTATGTTTATAGCCACCAGTCCTGTGTCTCAGGGCTCATCTAGACTATTCGAAAGCGTCGAAAAAGGATATGCAAATTCCGCAGGAGTTTGCATAACTTCTTCTGATCTGACTTCCGAAAGCAGAGCTTTCGAACGTGAAAGTAGTTTGGATGTGGCTTTTTCGGCGAACCCCCTTTTTCAAAAAGCCACATAGCTTTGAATATCTTCTTTCGACACTTTAGCATAGTCTAGATGAGCCCTCAGTGTTCAGTGCTGTTACTTAACTCTAATTTGCCTCTAATGTCTTCTCAGAGCCCAATAAGCAGTAGAAGTACTGATGATGCTGCCAGATAATACTAACTTCTTGCAGCTCTGCAAATACTCTGGTTCAGCACCAGTCAAGTCCCAAGGATGTCGGACTGGAGAGGTTCAACCTGTACTTAAATATTTCTATGAAGTGGACATAATTCACTAATCCTTAGTACTGCTTCTACAAAAATCAGCATTAATAATGCATACATAAATTATGCAGCTTTTTTTAAACTATTGTGTCATTGAAGGGCATAAGACCTTAATCCTAATGGAAAATTCATTTGTGATACCACTCTCCTAATCAAAGTCTACTTTTTTTTTTCTGGAGGGTTTTTACTTTAAGGTTCTTAGTATATAAACTTACTTTTCAAATACTACCTTTGTAAGTTTGTGCTAATTTTGTATGTCATTTTAATTCAACTTGACAGCTTTAGGAAAAATGAATTTAGAGCAGCCTTGAGGCTAATCGAACATACTGAAAACTTTGCATTATTAACTTTAAGCTTTTATTTAATATGAAGTCAAATAAAAAGAAAGTCATGCACCTTGTTAATTATCCCTTGTTTTAGCTTTCTTTCTTAAAAAATATATTATATATAACGTTAATAACTTGGGTACTATGGTGTGTCACATACAAACAAGCATATATGATGTTAATATTGGTGCCCAAGACACAATTCACTCTGCTCATGGATGGAAAATCTTAGAGGAAACATTGGTGGGGTCCTGTGTAAAATATGTGATCTTGTAATTAAAACTGTATCTTAATGTGTGCTCATAAGAGAGTAGACTATAGATTGCTGATACAGCCTTAAATCTGGCGTTTCCTTACTTTTTGAATGCTTGATTTTGCCACATAAATAGCTTTCATTTAGTTTAGGGGCTTTTTTGTTTGTTTGTTTTTTGGTAAGTATCTAAGTCACTTAAGTACTTTTGGAACTCTCTATTAAACAGCTGTTTCAAATTTTTGTAAGTAGCCTTCATTAAACCTATTACATTTTTTTAATAAAACCTCTCATTTGCAAAGGGTCTTATCAAAAAAGGATCCATTTATGTAACTTTCTGTTTAACTTTCAGCGCATTTATTAAAATAGTTACACTGATTTATTTTTAGGTTTTTATCATGAAAAATGGATCTATGTTCACAAAGAAAGCACCAGAGAAGTAAGTGTCCTGTGCTGTGGGCCAAGACTTGCAGTCTATTTACTGTGTAATTACATGTGATGTTTAAGTATGCATCTTAAGCTTTATCTTCACTGCATGCTAACCTTATGCTTAATCCTTGGTCTCTCTTCTCTCTCCCTCCCCTCGCCCCACCCCCACCACCATGTGCACACTTAACGCTGTATATATTCATATGTGACTTACCTGTGCCTTACATTAGGGCAGCTGTCACACCAGGGTGGGCAATAATTTTTGGCTGGGGGCCCACTTTCAGAAATTTTTGGAGTGGCTGTCCCAGATGGGGCAGGGCCTCAGGCAGAAGGGGCGGGGCCAGGACACTTCCATGCTTCCCCATCCTGCAAGAGAGCGCTGTGCTTAGTCAACCACCAGCTGAGCAGCAACTGGTGGTTGACTTCAAGTGCCGAGCTCTTGCAGGGTAGGAGGAGACTTCACATGTTCCCCCCCTACCCCCAAACTGTGATTGGCCTAGGGGCAGGGCAGAGCACACGAAGTCTCTCACTCCCTGCCCTCCAGCATGCAGTGCTTGGCATCAACTGCCAGGATTGACTCTAAGCACAATATGTCCCTAAGCTCTGATTGGCTTTAGAGCAGGGGAGTGACAGGGCCTCCATGGACCACATTAACCTGCTTGGTGGGCCCATGGAAGCCCTTTTTCTCACCCTTGTGTCAACTCTGAGCAATAGGATGGTCTATAAGTTAGCTTTTAACATGTGTTGCTACCATGTTAAAACATGGTTATCCATAGCTGCTCAACAACTGAGTTATGGTCTTTAGTTAATTCCCATAAGCTACTTAGGCACCTGTTCATGTGTTCTACCTTGCTGTTTCCCTGTGCCCTGAACCTTGGCCAGAAATGGTCTACCTTTACTTTCCTTTACTCAGGGAAGTACATGGTCTCCTCTACATGCAGTTTCCCCAGCTACCCTATCCCCAGTGTAGGAAACATCAGCAAAGTGGTCCCTAAGAAGCACGTGTGTAGATATGCAGCTTCCTGGCCCTATGAATGAACCAGAATCTTGGTGCAGATTTGAGCTGAAGTACATCAAACTGACATCTTTAATTGTACAAAGAGAAATCTTAAACTACAAAAAGTTAATCTAAGCAGTCTCCAGCTGATCACAAGATTCAGCAGACAAAACAGCAGTGCATGGAGACAGTAAAAAGGCTCAAGGTAAGCTATTGGAAGACCAAAACAAAGAAATCTGGTGATGCCACAACAATGGGTTCATTTTACAATGAAATGAACTGTTTTGAACAGCTCAATGAGCAGAGATCTGTTTTAGCATGAATTCATGTGTGGAACTCGGAGAGATGTGGGTTCAGAATTTGGATGTCCATAGAGATATGACCTAGTCCAATCAGCAGGGCTCGACAAATAATACAGTCTATTCACCACGGGTGAGTAGATTGTAACCCGGAAGAGCTGGGTTCGGGCGATCTGCGCATGTGCAGATCGCCGGACAGCGTGGCTGGCGAGCGGGGCTCGCCGCGGTTTGGCAAGTCCTGCCAATCAGCATGGAGAGGCAGAAGAGGAGGGCTCTTGCCGATTCCACAAGCTTGTCTCCAGTTGGCAAGCGCTAATCCCTTTAAACATTCCAGGAAAAGCACAATATGGCAGAGTGTATCCACACTGAAGAAGCAGGAAAGAACTCAGCATCTTATCTGATTTGCCAACAGTTCTGCAGCAGTCTAAAGATAGCAGTTTATACAGGGCAATAGTAACACTCTACTAAACCTTATTCACTCTCATATTGGAGTACTCTGTCACTTGAGCACAGGGAAGCACCTTACAGAGCTTAATGAATGTGGTTTGTTTTTCATGTGAAAGTTCTGGGCTCATAGTCACCCCATGTTTCCATCATAATGTGCTCCCACCAGTGTGTGCTTGTATTCCTACCTGGAAGCAGTGGCTTGTGTAAGATCAGCATTTTCTCAGTCTATGCCTCCATGGCCACTTGGCCCTATTCAACTACTTTTTTGCTACTTCTGACTGCAAGCTGCTGAGTCAGTCTTCTCTGGCAACAGAACAGCCTCTGAAAACCCTGCCAGCATCTCCAGACACCTAGTGCAGAGGCACAAAAACAAAAAATTGTATTAATAAAAAGCAGTATTTCTTGGCCCTAGTGATTAGGGAACCAAATGGCACATCACTGCATCAGCTTGGTTACTGCCAGGAAGTGAATTTTGTGGGCCAGACAATTTCCCCTCTCAATCCCAAGAATAAACAGCCAAATTGTTCTACAGCACCCTGCTAATGCAAGCTTAGAGTGACACAGTGAATTGTGACACTATGAATCTCAAGATATGAACCAAGATGCCTCCTGGGATGAGGTTTACCTGGATGGTCGACTAATACCTTTGATGTCGACACCCGCGCGTCCAGACTATCGCGCTGAGCCGACAAACAGCTGATCAGCACGGCAGCCATATAAATTTAAATGAAGCGGCGATTATTTAAATCGCCGCTTCATTTTCCTATGTCTGGTAGCCTAATCTACATGCCTCTGGCGATAGAGGCATGTAGTCTAGATGTACCCTTTGTTTGTTTGTCATAGCCACATATGTCATTATAGAAACTGGACATGACAACAGTGCACTGATGTCAACAGCAATTGTGTAGTAGTAGGGTAGGCAACTAGGCACTTACAAACATGATTACTTATTCCATGGTTCATGTGTGCACCTGATGAAATTGTGCACCACTGCAAAATGCAGAATTTAATGTTTCCCACAGACATTTATTTTTTTCATGTAGTTTGGTTGAAATGTCAAATTCTACTTCCTTTTTCCAGTTTTGTGTGTTTCAGAGGTTTTAGTTATGTATACATGTCTTCTCAAACCCGCCCCCCTTCATTCTCACTTATTACTGTACCTCTTCAGCACTCTTCCTTACTCTGGTCATGGGGGTTCACATACCCCCTCCAAAAACAAAAGGGCATTGGCTGGTGAACCATGTACTCAACACAACTTGCAACACAAGTGCATACACTCCTTCAACACATACTCTACCTGAATTCTCCATTCTCCATGCTAAGCACCGTGTCCTACAACTGCACTATTACTAACACACCAACCCCCATCTTGCTACAGTGACATGACCATAAAACCTTATAATACACATAACACAAAACAGTCCTTAAGTATGATAAAATGCATTTATATATAATGACTTAGTTTAAATGAAATATTTAATTTTGCAAAATAGAAGATAATTGTCAGCAAAGATACATCAAATTTTCAGATTGGAGAGGGGTAACTAGTGGTGTACCCCAAGGGTCAGTCCTGGGACCAATCCTTTTCAACTTATTCATAAATGATCTGGAGAAAGGGGTAAGCAGTGAGGTAGTAAAGTTTGCAGATGATACCAAACTGTTTAGGATAGTCAAGACAGAAGCAGACTGTGAGGGACTCCAAGAAGATCTCACCAAACTGAGTGATTGGGCAACAAAATGGCAAATGAAATTTAATGTGGATAAATGCAAAGTAATGCACATCGGGAAAAATAACCCCAACTATACGTACAGTATGATGGGGGCTAATTTGGCTACAACAAATCAGAAAAGGGATCTTGGAGTTATCGTGGACAGTTCTCTGAAAACTTCCACACAGAGTGCAGCGGCGGTCAAAAAGGCAAATAGGATGCTAGGAATTATTAGGAAAGGGATAGAAAATAAGACCCAGAATATCAAGTTCTGAAAAAGTGCAGCCAAGTATTTTGGAATAAATTAGCCAGATAATTGAAATGGTTGTGATTAACTTGTGCTACTTTGACAAATATATAGAATTTTGCAGAATTATGAAGTATTGTTCACAGAATTTTTAATTTTTTGGTTCAGAATTCTCCAGGGAGTATTCACAGGTAATAAAGACAAAGCCTCATTAACATGTGAAATCAGGTACCTTTTAGTTCAGAATGAAGCAGTTGTAGTTCCCTCTTCTTCTCTCTCAAGGCTTATCTAGACTATGCAGAACAGTTGAAAACAGTTGAATTTGCATATCTTCTGGGATTGCACTTTCAAAAGCACAGCTTTAAGTCTTGGCTTGACAAAGCCCTGGCCGGGTTGATTTAGTTGGAATTGGTCCTGCCTAGGGCAGGGGGCTGGACTTGATGACCTTCTGAGGTCTCTTCCAGTTCTATGATTCTATGAAAGTGAAAGTAGTTTAGACACAGCTTTTTTCAGCGAACCTCTTTCCCCCCCCCTCCTCCCCATCAAAAAGCTGCATCTAAACTATTTTCGAAAGTGCAATCGGAAGAAGATATGCAAATTCCCGCAGAATTTGCATATCCTCTTTTGACTGTTCCGTGTAGTCTAGATAAGCCCACAGGTTTTGTCTACACTGAAGTGTAAAGTGCAGCTGCAGCAGCACTGCTATCACAGTGCTTTAATGTGACAGTGTGGTCACAGCACTAGTGGCAGGGAGAGAGCAACTCCCTGGTGGAGGTGGCTTACTTACAGGACTGTGAGAGCTAACAGGCACTAACTGTACTGTGCTCAGGGGCATGTCTTTTCACATCCCTGAATGAGAAAGTTACAGCACAGTAAAGTGCTAGGGTACACAAGCCCTAAGAAGTAAAATAGATGCTTGGGCTAGATCAGGGTGAGGAACCTCCTACCTGCACTGGGAATGCTGTTAACCTGGTTTGCGCCGAGACTGCAAGCCATGGCCTCTGGGAGCTGCGAGTGGCTGTGTCTCCAGACACTCAAGCTATCTGGCAGCCTATCAGCAGCTCACTGATGAACCATGTGTGGCCAAAGCTCCAGAACTTCCTCGCCCCAGCCTGTATTTGGGAAAGTATGCCTAAGTGCCCTTATTGAATAGGGATATTTAAAATTCAATGATTAATTGCTTTCTTGAATCAGAACATTAATGGTGATGAACTGAATTATTATTCTTTGCTTTTAAAGTGTTTTTTTTCTTTTTCAAGAGACATGGCTATTGCACTCTGGGAGAAGCTTTTAATCGCTTAGACTTTTCAAGTGCAATTCAGGACATCAGAAGGTTCAATTACGTGGTCAAAGTAAGTTGTTTATATATTTCATAAACACTTTGCTGGATTGTCGGATCTAATATTCTGGCAATTGGCAAATACACAAATAAGCTGCACAAATATAAAAATGTCCAAGTTCTGGAGTAAACTTTGATTTTTGTGTGTGAAACTGATTTATTATCCTGTGAAACTTCTCAGACTCCAGAAGGAAGAAAATAGGATGGTTTATCTGAAAAACCATAAAAAAAGTATAACACTAGTGATAACTTCAGTAGTTATACTTTTTTTTTGGATGGAGCATAAATTATAGTATCCAATAAGAGGTGGAACTAGAAGTACCAAAATAGATTTCAAAGAGCAAACAACTTAAGTTGCAAACAAAATTTTGTTTAAGTATATCAAAAGCAGAAAGCCTGCAGATAAATCAATGTGTCTATTCACTCATCAATAGTTCAAGGGAGCAATTAAGGAAGATAAGCACATTTGAATGCTGGAAAGTTTCTTACCCTGCACCTGCTCTTTTCTTGTAATAAAGATGATGTCCTCAGAGATGTCAGAATAGGTGCTGGAGAAAATTAATTAAAAAAACAGTAAGTTGCCAGGCCCAAATAGTAAATCGAAGAGTTTTGAAGAAGTCTTAAGTAGAAGCAGCAGAGCTGTTAAAACAATCAGTCATTTAAAAACAGCCACTGCTCAGAAGATTGGAAGGTAAAAAGTTTACAAAAATGCAATTCTAGAGGTTGATCCAGTGGATTTACATAAGTAATGCTTACTGGATTGTACCTGTCAAATTGGTTGCAAAGGAATAACAAACCACATAGAAGATCGTGGTATAATATAGACTAAGCAGTTGGTTCTCTGCAAAGAACGTGACAAAGTAGTGAATTAAAGAGAACTGGTTGGCATTATAAGCAGTGCAAGCAGATCTGCCTTAGTTAATGTTACATCATTCTTCCCATGTATAGTGCCTGTCTTCTGTGTCTTGCCTTTAGCTTTGCCAAAATTTAACTGTATGCTAAAGGGAAAAGACAAGAACGTGACTGATTGCAGGATGGTTCAGGTACCAATTTCCCTCCAGAACTGGAATGCAATCCAAGATTTTAGTATTGCACCTTGCTAGGGATTTTCATAGATTTGTCAACAGAGGAATGATATGTCCCATTTTTCTCTAGTGCTAGATATGTAGAATGACTGTCTATAACTATCCATTTACTTCATTAGCTTGTTAGAGAAATGTGCTCTGTATCTAAATGTTTCTAGCCTGCTGTTGACCCATGCTGGTGTCCATGTGATGCAGAGTGATGTGATATTTTGTTTTTCTCAATGTCCTTTGCTAAAAAACTAGGAAGGTATATACAAAAATATTACATTAAAGTTGGCATAGTCAACCTTAATTGCAGTGTTTCCTCATTTGAGTTCTTGGATTATAACCCAGTATTTCTGAGAGCATTCTTAATATAACCATTTCTTCTCCATCGAGTGGTCCCCGTGGGTGATCCACTCTGGGTGCTGGTGCGTCCTCGCGCTGGCAACCGGAGACTTTTCTAGCCGTTTCTGCCGCGTTGCGCAGGCGCCGTGGCACGCTCTAGTGTCATTGGAATTGAAGGATGCCTGTGCGTGCGGCTCCTCAGTTCCTTCTCTACCGTCCTTGGCAGCAGACGGAGCCCTCTGTTCTCCTTATTTCTCTCTTAAAAATAGTTGAATACCTTGTTTTATTCCCTAGTTACCTCATCATCCAAGTTCTTTAGCCCTATTTGCCTCCCCTGTCTAGTTATTTAAAAAAAAAAAAAAATCTCCTTGCGGCTTGCTGCTTTTCCCCAACCCCTCATGCCCGGCTCGCCAGGCTTCAAACGCTGCGAGTCATGTTGAGATGCCATGCCTGCTTCCGATGGGCACTCCAACTGTATTAAGTGCCTTGGGGAGGCGCACCAGACTCAGAAGTGCCTGCACTGCTCCAAACTAACAGCGAGGGCGTGACAAGACTGAGCCAATAGACTAAGGACTCTCTTATACGAGAAGTCCCTCCTCAGAGGATTCTCCTACGCTGTCTAGATCACCTCAACTAAGTAAGGATATGGAGAAAAATGAACCCCCTACCCACTCTTCCTCCACGACCTCGAAAAACAGTCTCTCTCCAACTCCATCCCTATCCTCGGCACCGTCAGCGTTACGGGTTAGCACCGAGGATAGGTTGGGAACCTCCGGCACGTCGCAGCCTAAGACGCAGGCACCACACAAAAGAGCTCATTCAGAGCCAAGGCAAAAATCAGCGGCACCGACCGCTATGGCGCCTAAGCCATCCTTGGCACCAACTGCGCTATCGAAAGAGCACAAGGCACCGAAGCATGCCAAAACGGCACCGTGCTCGGCACCGAAAAAGGCCTGTGCCGACAAACCACTTTCGAGCACTCAGGTGCTGGAACAAGCCTCGGCACCGTCAACCCCCCCTGCTGGCGGCGCCGCTACCACCGAAACCACCCCACCCCCCCCCCCGCTGGCGGCGCCGCTACCACCGAAACCGCATTGCCCCACACCGTCTCAGAGGCGTGAGCGGTACCGATCCCCAGTGCGGAGCCACACCTCCTCGGCACCGCCGTCCCCGGGTTCCTCTATCCACTCGGTGAGATCTCGGTGCTCCTTGGCCGCTTCTCGCTCAGTCAGTGACATCAGCACCAAACCAAGGAGCAGGTTCTCATCGCAACACTCTAGCCCAACACATAGACCTCCATCCTGGCAGCCGGCGACAGTTCAGTATGCATACCCTCCCCCTCCGCACCCATGGTATGCGCAACAGTAAGCTTACCCACCCCCGCCACATGCCACTCAATGGCAACCCTGGGAATCACGTCCAAAGAAGAGTCACCACCGACCCTCTTCTACTATTTCCAGGCCACCACCTCCCTCGCCTCCTGCCACCGTATCTGCCACTGAGCCGAATTCTCAGACACCCACGACTCCCGCTCTGAAGGCAAGACCAGATCTCCTCTACACAATTCCTCCTCCTCCCCAGACGATGCGGTCACCACCGAAGCCCCGCCATCGGGAGATGACACGAAAAAATGTCAGGAATTATTTAAAAGAGTAGCTATAGCTCAGGAAAGAGATCTCTAAGAGGTGCAGGCCAAACAATATCGCCTTTTTCGTACGCTTCAGCCGCCAACCGCCTCTAGAATTGCTGTCCCCATGGATGAGGCTATTATGGACCCAGCCAACAATATCTGGCAGACCCCAGCATCCGTCACTCCAACAAATAAGAGAGCAGACCGTAAATACTTTATCGCTCCAAAAAATATGGACTTCCTTTTTACCCATCCACTTCCGAACTCCCTAGTAGTGGATTCGGTATGGCACAAGGGTAAACCAACCTAATCTAAGAACAATCCCACAGGACAGGGACCACAGGAAAGTGGACATTATGGGCCGAAAGGTTTACTCTTCATCCACATTACTCCTCAGGGCTGCGAACTATACTGCCATGCTTGCGGACTATGACCACACTAATTATTCCAAGGTCCAGGATCTCCTCCAACACCTTCCAGAGCATAAACAGTCAACCCTACTCAATATTATGCAGGAGGGCCACAACCATCTCCCGCACAGTCTTGCAGTCCGCTATGGACGTGGCAGACACCGCAGCTCGAATTACGGCCTCAGCAATAGTGCTCCGCAGAATTTCCTGGTTACAAGCATTTAGGGATCTACAACAAAAGGTTGAGGACTCACCCTTCGATCGAACCAACCTTTTCTCAGCTAAGACTAACGAGGTGTTGCATTCTATGAAGGACTCTCGTACTACTCTCAGGACCCTCGAAATGTACACTCCTCCATTCAAGAGAACTAGGTACCAGCGTTACCAACGCCCGAGAGCTGTTCAGGCAACAACCCAAGTACAATTTCCTCAAACAAAGATCTCAGCGCAGTAGACCACAGCGACGACAACAACAGCAGCACGTTGCACCCCATCCACCATCGAGCAAGCAGCAGGTTTGAAGGTCAGGTCGAGAGCCAGGAAGCTAATCCACTGACACTTCCAACTGGTACCCTTCAGTTCCAGCACCCCCTCTGGGCCTTTTTCCACCAATGGTCCCTCATCACTTCAGACAAATGGGTCTTGGATCTGATTCAATCTGGTTACATTATCCCCTTTACCTCCCTTCCTCCCACCCATCCTCGTACCCCATCCCTTTTCAGGGACCCCTCTCACGAAACCATTCTCCTACAGGAGGTTTCATATCTTCTTCAACTTGGCGCAGTAGAAGACGTACCAACACAATTGTGGGGCCGGGGTTTCTACTCAACCTACTTCCTAACCCAGAAGAAGACGGGAGGGTGGTGACCCATTTTAGACCTCAGGCGCCTCAACAAATACATCACATACCACCGTTTCAAGATGGTCACCCTATCAACTGTCATTCCCACGCTCGATCAACACGATTGGCTTTCGGCTCTCGACCTTCAAGATGCCTATTTCCACATTACAATTCATCCCGCTCACAGACGCTTCTTACAGTTTACAGTAGGCACCCAACACTACCAATACAGGTTGCTCTGTTTGGCCTGTCCACAGCCCCGAGGGTGTTCTCCAAAACCCTGGCGGTCCTAATGGCCTCTCTTCGATGCCAAGGCATCATAATATTCCCGTATTTGGACGATTGCCTCATAAAAGGTGCGTCCTTTGATGAGATGAAGGCCATGACAGATACCACAGTAGCCCTTCTACTCAGCCTCGGGTTTCACATAAATTGCACAAAATCCACTCTATACCCAACGCAGAGGCTGGAATTCATAGGCGCCCTCATTAACACAGTCACAGCAAGGGCTACTCTTCCTGAGCAGAGGTTCGCAACGATATGCGACCTTATCCGAGCAGTACAAGCGGTGCCGACTGTTACGGTCCGCCACTGCCTCAAAATCCTTCGGCACATGGCCTCCATGACCTATGTTGTCAGCCTGGCCAGACTCCACATGAGACCTCTCCAGTCCTGGCCCGCGACGGTTTACAGGCCCTCCAGAGACCAACTTTCCAAGTC